TTTTCATCTCTTACCTGCGTGTCATATATGTAGAGTGTACACACATACACACACACACAGAGCGAGAAGATGTCATTAGATTTTTCTGGTTCATCCCGTTTTCATCTCTTAAACCTGCGTGTCATATATGTAGAGTGTACACACATACACATACACACACACACACAGAGCGAGAAGATGTCATTAGATTTTTCTGGTTCATCCCGTTTTCATCTCTTACCTGCGTGTCATATATGTAGAGTGTACACACATACACACACACACACAGAGCGAGAAGATGTCATTAGATTTTTCTGGTTCATCCCGTTTTCATCTCTTACCACCTTCTTCTTGTGCCATATCCATTATCGGACGTTGGCGATCCTGTTTTTATCAGCAGCCGCACGAAAACGTGCTGCTGAGTTTTGTCCAAACCAGTCCCTTAGATTTTGAAGCCATGATCTTCTTCTGCCTGGACCTCGTTTGCCTTCAGTCTTTCCCTGGAGGATTAAATGGAGTATGCCGTATTTTTCTGGGTGTCGCATCACATGTCCGAAATATTCAAATTTTCGTTTTTTAATTGTTTTGATGATTTCCCTTGGCTTTCCCAGATGGCTTATCTCTTACCTGCGTGTCATATATGTAGAGTGTATACACACACACACACACACAGAGCAAGAAGATGTCATTAGATTTTTCTGGTTCATCCCGTTTTCATCTCTTACCTCCATCCGGTGTAAAAGTTCCGTCTGCCATCCAGTATTGGAAATTATCCCGATGATTGTGAATGTGATTACATGTTTAGGGCACGTTATGCTGGGTTGGAGGAGGCTGGCTTAGTTTCCCTAGCATACCATGCATAGAGAAAATGTTGCTGTCAACCTAGAAAACAAGTAATGTACAAGTGGCAAACGGGCAGTGGCAGAATACAAAGTTTTTTAAAAAACGCAAGTGCCTCAGGTAATATTTTTCAAGGAAGGTTTCTCTTTCACATCACCCCTGGATATAAGGCAACTTTTAAGGCAACATATTGTTGATTCCAATGTAAATCAACTCCATTATGTTTTGTTCCCCCCCCCCCCAATTCCATTATGTTACATCTATAT